GCACACAAGCAGTGGCATGAAGCAAGCCAAGCTTTAGATCTCAAGCCAGACACAACTGCCAAAAGGATACCTGCAGCCCGCCATCGCAAAAGCTTGCGTCAAGCATGTGCCTTCTCCTCTCTCGAAGCTCGGGTCCTCGTCTCCACTGCGTCCTGGCCGTTTCTCGCCACTCCGACGGCCAACTCAACGACCGCGGTTTAGGGTTTAGGGTTCAGGGTTCAGGGTTTAGGGTTTAGGGTTTAGGGTTTAGGGGTTTAGGGTTTAGGGTTTAGGGTTTAGGGTTTAGGGTTTAGGGTTTAGGGTTTAGGGTTTAGGGTTCGACCAAACCGACCCTTGCTGTAGCTTGGGTCTGCATCTTGGGTCTGCATTCCTACTTACGGGGACGATGTAATTGAAGAAAGCAGCTCCCTGAAGCTAAAGGCTGCCTCATAAGATGTACTGCACCCAGTTTCCCACTCGGTGGTCGATCATCCGCAACATGGCGCAGTGCCTTCATCTGGAGAGGAGCGGCGAGTGTGTGCAGCAAACTTGGGGATGCACTGCCTGAACGGCTCTTTGGAAATCCATTGCGTTTGCAAATTCCAACCTCGCCGAAAGAGGGCCTGATCCCAGGTAGGGTGAACGAGGCTGTGCCGGAGAGGTTCTGCGGCCTTTGCGGCGCAGTCCGAGCTCAAATCCTATAAGCGCACCTCCTCAGAACGACAAGAAGTGGAAGTTTTAAAGTTTTGCACTGTTGTTGCAAGCACATCAGACTCGCTGATGATGGCCGCATGCTCAGAGCTCAGCCAGCTGATGGCCCCAATATCTGCGAGACCTCTGAATTTGTCTGTTTGCGTTATAAAGCGTTATGAAGCCTTTGCAAGAACCAGCAGAGATATAAAAGACACGTGAAGGCCTTGTAAACCATCTTCGCTGAGCAAAAGTCAGCCTGGGTAAGCGACTCGGACCTAACAGCTACTCAATTGTTGGACTCCATAGATTTTGCCACTAGTCCTGGTCATGCTATCGCAAGTTAACACATTGCCTTGCCGCACAAGCTCCGCACCAGCACGTGTATGGCATTGAAACGCAACTATGTAAACATACCCACAAACTACATGTTCCATGACTATGAATGAGCTGGGCACCATGCAAACTGTCAAGCTGCGCCAGGAAATTCATACGTGATGTTTGTCCAAGCAACGCAACTGGATAACTCATGAGCATACCACACGACGTGTCATTGTTCGCTGTGGACAAGTTACAAAGCTTTGTTGATGTCCTTCCTGCGGCAACGCTTGAGCATAGTTGTTCGAACATGTTTTGACAGCTTGTTGCCCAAGCCGCCCAGCGGGCTCTACGATACGGAGGGGAAACTTCACTTTCTAGGGAGGGGGGGTGTCTCATGCGATGAGCCAGTCATGGCAACCTAGTTTGGGAGCACAACCGTGAATGGGGAATAAGTCGGCCTGCTTGATACGCCTGGTCATGCAATCTTCACGTTCTCTGCACCTGCCTCTTCTTGCCTCTTGAGTTCTTGCTTCTTTGAATTGTCGGTTTGCAGGTAGTTACTGGGGTACTTTTAACCTAAACCAAGCTAAAGGGCGACAGCTCTATGACAGCAGCCCTCAAGCGCACGATGAGGACCGAGAGGATCTCCGGATGGTGGTGGTGGCGAACGGTGGTAGCGGCGGGAGTGTTGCGTAGGTAATGGCGAGAAAGGTGGGGAAATTGGAGGGAATCATGAGCAAGCGTGGGAAGTACAAACTTGAGACGCGGAAACGCCTCTCAGACGCTTCCCAGAGACTCACTCGTTCTTTGAAAGTACAAATTTCTTACGCGAAAGCCTCCTCCCGGAGCTCCGGGCTTGGACATTCGTTCTTTGTAATTCGAAATTAAGTCTTTAGGTACATGGAAACTCGTTCTTTCCAGCACAGGAAAAGGCCTCTCGGAGGTCTCCTGGAGTTCTGGGCTTGGAAACTCGTTCTTTGGATTGGTGCGTCTTGGCTTAATGTACGATCTTTCTGCGCTTGTTTTGCTTATTCGGCGTCTTCGCGTACGATGTGCGGTTGTTTTGTTTATTCGTGAGTCTTGGCTGACTATATGATCTATGTGAAGCTGTTTTGCTTGTTGGCGCGTCTTCGCTTACTGGGTGCGGTTGCTGCTTAGTGGTGCGTCTTCGTTCTGTGCGCTTGTTCTGCTTATTGGCGCGTGTTCGCTTTCTACTTGCAACTGTTTTGCTTGGGGAGTGGTGGGTAGTGGTGGGTTTTTTTCAACGCGAAAGCTGCAGTGTGGCAGCCGTCAGCACCGACATGCTTCAGAGAAGCAAGGGAAAGCGAATAAACAAGCAGTTTACTGGGCTTGTTAAGGAGGAGTTGCTATTGCTTCCTGTCGGTCGCAGCTGGCGCAACCGATCCATAGAGTCTGGTGGTGTCCAAATGAACAGTTGAGGTACTACCGTGCGCCGAAAGTATTTCTTGCACACTCGGTATGCGAAAATAACTGTTGCGGAGGTCCACATTAGAGGGGGGAGATCCGATTGTAAATATTGTGATCGTTGAGACGCCTCTGCGAGGCACGAGGCCGCCCAATGGACTCACGGTCGACCTGATCGATTGTGTCCATAGCCACGCCGGTAAGCATGTGTGCTGGAGAAGACCACTTGGCTTTGTGTATCGGAGTGACGTAAAAGGTGTCCCATGAGTTTCAATCGATTCTGAGAATACAAACGGGAGGGAGGCAAAACACGACCAGCTTTGTACGCTAACTCATGTAGAGAATTCAATAGAGCAGAGTGTATTAGAGGGGTCAATGACTCTGTGATAGTAAGAGGACTTAATCTTGAAAATTCTGCGTAAATTTTAATACTGCATCGAATCAAGGTGCACCAATTGAGCATGCGTCAAAGTGGCGCTTTCCATAGCATAGAGGAGAATAGATTGTATTACAGCTTTATAGACCCGCAGTTTCCAAGAAGGAGGAAGGGCATTATGTCCCGTCAATGGGCGGAGTGACTTTGGGGCAGCCATAAGTGTTTATTACTAGCGGAAGTGTCATCCACAGACACTATCCCGCGCCGGCGAAGCAGAGTGGCTGAGCGTCTTCCGCTCTCGCACCAAGACCATTTCGAGGCGAGTTTTCTAAAGAGGTTGGGCTTCACCTCTAGATGTGCCATGCTGCTGCAGGAATACCGGACCAGTACTATCCCCTTCTCCGACTTCTGGCAGTGCGGCGCTGAATCCCACGATAACTTCGGCGACAGCGCCTACACTCCGTCAGAGCGGGTGATTGCTCTCTGGTGCACCCTTGCGCACCTGGGCCATTTGCATTCAGGCCGGGGGAGCGGTCGAGGTGTGCCTGGATGAAATAAACCTGAGAGGGTCAACATGCAGCGCATCGTTCCTTGCCCCGGAGGCAATGAAAGCGACGCATTGTATGGAAAGTGGTGCGGACTCTCGGCCTACTTTGCTGAAGCGATATGCACTTGCAGCGCCATGCCAATCAATCAAATGGCACTTCTTCCCCGCACATTCCATTATTTTAGTTTTGTACTCTCTCGAAGGCGAAAAGCGAGTCCAAGTCTAGACCGCCTGTCAGCAGCCCTGTCTAGCAAGCGGGCTCCCTTCCAAAAATTTTACCGAGGGTGCATTAGCTGCCTCCACTGGGATCGGTCTTGAGATAAAGGTTGTAGTGCGCGTATCAAGTCAGTGTTTCCAAGCCAGTGTGAGTGGAGGGCCGCAATATCTTGTCGACTGGGTTGCGTATAAAAAGCATGAGAATGTTCATATACCCTAGGCGGCACGCGATTCTGAAGCAGATATTGCTGTCGAGTATAAGCCTCTGTCATGGCGAGCTCGGCCCAATGTATTCTGGGCGCTCCGACACGTCGTTGAGGAAATTGTATATAATTGTGGGAGGCGTTGAAACAAAAATGGTGTTCGAGCTGGGCTTCGTGGCGTAATAGATGGCCCAGATATTCGATTCTGGCCGATTGTATGTGTTGAGAGGGAGGTTGTAGTTTGGGAAGGTGCTCATATGACAATTTTAAGAGACACTCATTGGAGCATTGTTCATCTGTGGGTAAAAGTACCCTATGAGAAAAGGAGCTCTTAATAGAGAAAATCTTGCGCAAGGCTTTGTAGTGGATGGTGTTAAAACGCTCTAGTTGAGATCTGGTGTAGATTTGGGACTCTGAGCCAAACAATAAGATGGCAAGGACTATCTGGGAGTGTACCAATAGCTTGCGTTTGTGCGAAATGCTGGAGTGTCGAGAAAAGGCGTCGAGGGATGTGAGACATCGTGTTGCTTGCGAATACCGGTGTTGGACGTCCTTATCCGCAGAGCTGTTGGCGCATAAATATGCTCCGAGATAATGGGCCACATCTGTGGGCTCAACCTCTGTAGTCTGAGGTGGGATGGAACCCCTAATTGGTAAGCAACTGGGGCAGCCGCAGGGGCTCGTAGGAGTGTCTATAAGAACTATTTTTCCCTGCGGGTTGATAGCAAGGAGCTGGCACTTTTCTGGGTTAAGGTGGAGGCCTCGTAGGGTTGCAATGTATTGGAGGAGGTGAAGGAGGCGATTTTGCGCCTGGGCTGTTCTAGCCAATAAGAGCGTATCATCAGCATATTCCAAATCTGTTATCGGAAGATCATGGGAGTGAACAGAGGGAAGAACCTGATAAAAACCGTCCCAAAACCGGTCGCCGAAAAAAGTCCCAAAAGCGGGCCTTTCAAATCTAAACAGGAAACGGACAAAAAAAACGGCCTGACGGTGGATGGTGGATCGACGGCGCGTCAACCTTCATAGCCGGAGGTCTGGGCCCGGCACTCTCGTGTGTTGTGGCCTGGTTTTGGGCTGGTTCAGGTGAAAGCCTGTAGCTTTTTGGGCCCTAAAGAAGGTGAAGCCTGCAGCTTTCGGCGGCTTCACACCCGATCATGACCTGTCGCATGCAGGTGGCCCTCCCTTGCCGTGCGTCCTTTTTTGTTGCCGTGGCTCCACTGGGTAGTCTGTGAAACGCTTCTCACCGAGTAGTGACTTTGCGGCGCTTGGGCTGCGCCGACCAGACCTCGTCACCCTCCGAGTCGTCTGCCACCTTGCACCGGTCTGGAAAAAGCAGCCGCACGTTTTGATTGACTGACTGAAGGCAGCCGGACTCCGTGGCAGTCTGGGAAGCCACCAACAACACGTCCCGCACGGTGACGGGTGGCTCCTCGAAGGTGTGCTCCCCCAGCGTCTCGCCGCTCATCTTGGTGAATTTGGCCATCAGACGGCCCCGAACTTCTTCCACATGGCAGGCAAGCACGAAGTCCTCCGGCGGCACGTTCCGCATCACCACGCAATACGGAGACCGGCCGGCGCACGACCGTGGCCATCGCATCACCCACATCTCTGCCTCTCCCAGGCGGCGCCAATCGCCCCCTGCATCCGGCGGGTCCAACAACAACTCGCCCCATGCCAACTTCGAGACGTTCCACGGCACCGCTCTGGCCGCCATCCACTCTCCTGGCGGCAAGGTGAGAGCCTGTAGACCTTCAATGCACTTCTCGGGCCAGAACACCTTGGCTGCTTCCCATCGTTTTGCCATGGCTTGCCACCACGACTAACGCAGGGGAAGGACGGGGGAGAGGTCACTTCTGCTTACTGTTGCTCTCAACAAAAAAACAGCACGGCTGCGGTGTGCGCGCATGCAATCAACAAACGAAACAGATCACGGGGCATTCTCCGCAACTACTTCGATCTGTCTACAAGGGGAGCCATCTCGAGGGAGCCATCTCTCTAAAAGGTGGAACACACTCCTCTGTGGCAGGTCTGAGCTCCTTTATTTAGGTGGAACACGCTGGTCCTGCGCAGGTTTGAGATGTGAACGCTTTCATGTTGGTGGAATGAATATTCTGGTACAAAAACAGACATTCAAGACCGTCTGACCCAAAAGGCCTGACGGCAGGTGGTGGGTCGACGGTGCCGGTGCGTCAACCTTCATAATAGCCGGAGGTTTGGGACGGCAATCTCGTGTGTTCTGGGGGGTCTGGTTTTTGGTTGGTTTGGGGCGGTTTGGGGGTCCGTTTTTGTACGGTTAAAGGGGACTGGTTTTTGACGGTTTTGGGGCATCGTTTTTTGATGGGTTGCAGGGCGCAAACAGACCTCCCAAAGCCGTCCAAAACCAGACCCCGGCAACCGTCCGAAAACAAGTCGCCGAAACCGTCCGAAAACGGACCTCCCAAACCGCCCGAAAACAGACTTTCAAAACCGTTTGAAAACGGACCCAAAAGGCCTGGCGGCGGGCGGTGGGTCGACGGTGCGTCAACCTTCATAATAGCCGGAGGTCTGGGCCGGCAATCTCGTGTGTTCTGGGGGGTCTGGTTGTGGGTTGGTTTGGGGCGGTTTGGGGGTCCGTTTTTGTACGGTTAAAGGGGACTGGTTTTTGACGGTTTTGGGGCATCGTTTTTTGATGGGTTGCAGGGTGCAAACAGACCTCCCAAAGCCGTCCAAAACCAGACCCCGGCAACCGTCCGAAAACAGGTCGCCGAAACCGTCCGAAAACGGACCTCCCAAACCGCCCGAAAACAGACCTTCAAAACCGTCTGAAAACGGATCCAAAAGGCCTGACGGCGGGCGGTGGGTCGACGGCGCGTCAACCTTCATAATAGCCGGAGGTCTGGGCCGGCAATCTCGTGTGTTCTGGAAGGTCTGGTTTTTGGTTGGTTTGGCGCGGTTTGGGGGTCCGTTTTTGTACTGTTCAAGGGGACTGGTTTTTGACCGTTTTGGGGCATCGTTGTTTATTGGGTTGCAGGGTGCAAACAGACCTCCCAAAGCCGTCCAAAACCAGACCCCGGTAACCGTCCGAAACAGGTCGCCGAAACCGTCCGAAAACGGACCTCCCAAACCGCCCGAAAACAGACCTTCACAACCGTTTGAAAACGGATCCAAAAGGCCTGGCGGCGGGCGGTGGGTCGACGGTGCGTCAACCTGCATAATAGCCGGAGGTCTGGGCCGGCCATCTCGTGTGTTCTGGGGGGGTCTGGTTGTGGGTTGGCTTGGGGCGGTTTCGGGGTCCGTTTTTGTACGGTTAAAGGGGACTGGTTTTTGACGGTGTTGGGGCATCGTTTTTTGATGGGTTGCAGGGTGCAAACAGACCTCCCAAAGCCGTCCAAAACCAGACCCCGGCAACCGTCCGAAAAACCGTCCGAAAACGGACCTCCCAAACCACCCTAAAACAGACCTTCACAACCGTTTGAAAACGGACCCAAAAGGCCTGACGGCGGGCGGCGGGTCGACGGTGCGTCAACCTTCATAATAGCCGGAGGTCTGGGCCGGCCATCTCGTGTGTTCTGGGGGGTCTGGTTGTGGGTTGGTTTGGGGCGGTTTGGGGGTCCGTTTTTGTACGGTTAAAGGGGACTGGTTTTTGACGGGTTTGGGGCATCGTTTTTTGATGGGTTGCAAGGTGCAAACAGACCTCCCAAAGCTGTCCAAAACCAGACCCCGGCAACCGTCCGGAAACAGGTCGCCGAAATCGTCCGAAAACGGACCTCCCAAACCGCCCGAAAACAGACCTTCAAAACCGTCTGAAAACGGACATCCAAAAGGCCTGACGGCGGGTGGCGGGTCAACGGTGCGTCAACCTTCATAATAGCCGGAGGTCTGGGCCGGCAATCTCGTGTGTTCTGGGGGGGTCTGGTTTTTGGTTGGTTTGGGGCGGTTTGGGGGTCCGCTTTTGTACGGTTGAAGGGGACTGGTTTTTGACGGTTTTGGGGCATCGTTTTTTGATGGGTTGCAGGGCGCAAACAGACCTCCCAAAGCCGTCCAAAACCAGACCCCGCTAACCGTCCGAAAACAAGTCGCCGAAACCGTCCGAAAACAGGTCGCCGAAATCGTCCGAAAACGGACCTCCCAAACCGCCCGAAAACAGACCTTCAAAACCGTCTGAAAACGGACATCCAAAAGGCCTGGAGAACGGTACTCAAAGTAAAGGTCATCAAACAAAACAGACAGAACAATGACAAAGAGATAGGGGGAAAGGGGGCATCCTTGGCGGATCCCGCGCCGAAACTGGTAGGAGGCAGATAGATACGGCCCGTCCCGAACCCGTAGAGCTAGGTGACTCACAAAGTCAAAGGCTTGTGCCCAATCTAGAAATACAGATTAAAAAGACTCGCCGTGGCGTTCATGTATTTCAAGGAGACGGCGGATAATAAAGAGCGGAGCACTCGTCGATCTGCCGGCTCTGAAGCCGAACTGGTATGGGGAGAGTCGTGCGTCTATGGCTTCTTTGATACGATGATGAAGGAGCGCTGCGTAAAATTTTATACACTGTGTTGACCAGGGATATCGGGCGATAGCTACTATGAGATTTGGGGTCTTTCTTTTTACCTTTGTAAATCATGATAACTATAGCCGGCCCCAATTGGATGGGGCGGTGGCTGAGTGAATAATCTGGTTGTAATGATCAAGGAGAGAAAGTCTAAAGGATCTGGGGGCAAATTTCCAGAGCTCTACCGGAATCCCATCCGGTCCCGGAGCTTTACGGTGTCGCATTCTTTGTAGGGCTGCTTCGAATTCAGCCTCTGTGAAAGCGGAGCGCGGCATGTCCGCAGGGGGGTACAATTGACGATCGGAGATAGGCGGTGCGTCCGATGGGCACCAAACTTCTTTTGAAAGGTACTTAGCTAGAACTTCCGCATTTTGAGACTTGGAGCATATTTTGCCGTTGGGTTGAGTGACCCCTTGGGTTCGAGGCGTATAGGGCTTTCGAATAAATTGTAACGTGGCCCTTAGATTTGAACTGCCAAATCGGATTGCCCTTGACTCCGGACGAGTTTGTCCTAGCAGGCGGCTGTGATGATGCGGTCAGTTCTCAAAACGATGGTTCCCTCCTCGACAGTCGATGTTTTTTGCCATCTTTTTTCGACAGGGCCAACCGACGTGGGAAGTATGTTGACTCCCACCCTCCCCCTGTTTCTTGTTCTGTTCTTCAATGACCAGGCGTCGGTGGGAAGTCGGTTCAATCCTGCCCTGCGCTGGGTTCTGGCTGACACAGGGAAGATAGCGCAAGTCGATGCGGTCCGGACTTCTCTGCCTTGCTTTTCGTCTTCGGAGGTTTCAGCAAGAGACGCTGCCTTGTCCTTTTTGATGTTTGTTTCCAACTCCTGTCGGGTTCTTAGCATGGGCGTATGACACGGGACGGTATTGTCCGAGCTTGGACAAAAATCAAAAACACTAATTAAAAACACTAGGGCCCAAAATCACATAAAGGGTCTCTTATAGGGTTGTTTTTACGTATTGAATTCTCCACATCTTTTTTCTACCTTCTGACTTTATAATCAATAACTGAATTCCCGGAGAGTTTCAGTATAATTAGGAAAATGAGATCTAAAATTATCGTGATCTAGTGGTTTATAATCAATTAGTTTTTTAATTCGGAAGGAGGTTTTGTCCTCACTCTTGGAGACGATTGCACGACATTATTTATGTCAAATTTATTTTGGAGGAATTATAGTGATATACTTTTGGATTCATGATTTACGACTTATATTCATTCTGAATTTAATGTAATTTCCGATACGTTGATATTCCATTTCATCACTATAGCTGATATCATTGGCTGCTCACAACTCAGTGCTTGGACAATTATCGTCGATGAATCAATTCAATTAGAAATCCTCCATTTAGGATTTATGATTCGCATTGGGATTTTTATTATATTCTGGAGCCTTCTCTTTTGAGATGATCTACTGATCTATGGCTTTTGGGAGCATACGTCTCTTTCGCCGTCTCCTGCAGATCATGAAATCAATACCATCTTACGTTGAAGTCCTACCAACTGGGGCGCTAGTTGTTGGGTGCTTGTTGCCGCCAGCGGCGCGCTGCCACCAATCGTGATGTATTGTTTTTTTTCTCACTTGTAGAAGTATTTCTCGACGAGAAGTGCGGATATTTCTGATTTCCTGTCGTTTCTTTTGATCGGGGGGCTTAATTCGGGGCGAAGATGGATTTTTCAATCAGAATTCATAATATCGGGGTAAAAAAATTTTCGGATATTATTTCTGAAAAGAATTCTTGGCGAATATTTATTGACAATTTATTTGGGAAATTGAGCAAGGATGAATTATACGCATTTTTTATGAATATATATATATATGATTTGGATGAAATGATTATATATTTGAGATTTTTCGATGATGATTTTCGATTGGGTAATTGATTGAGGCTCAGGCGCCCAGGTGCTTCACCCCCTGGGCCAGGCACCCGTTCCAGGACCGGTTGATCAACTGGCAGGGGCAAGGTGTACTCGTGGAGGGTTGGTAGTAAACGCGGCGAGTCGTATTCAGGGACATATGCTCGCACTTTTCCTCATTGAGGGCGAGGCATCTATTCTGCCTTCTTCCTGGACTAAATGGAGGAGCCTTGTAAGTTGGTCAGCGGAGTTCGACAAAAGAACCGTGTCAACCGCATACTCTAAGTCCCACACAGGTTTTGGTGTGTAAAACACACCTGGTATTTCCCCATTTTGCGAAGCATGGCGTTCTTCAACTGTATGAAACAGATGGGTCAGCACAAAAGAGAAGAGGTAAGGGGATACGGGGCAGCCCTGCCGCAGTCCCTTAGTTTGCGTGAACTGTTCTGATTTAGGACCAGAATCTCGCACAACGAAAGTAGGGGCCCTATATGGGTTTGTATCGTAATGGGGAGGCGCGCGACAGGTGTTGGGTCGGGGTATGTTTCGTGGGCATGTTTCGGAGTACGTTTCGGGGGTATGTTTCGGGTATGTTTCGCGGCATCATGAGCTACTTTACCTGCAATTTCGGGGGTATGTTACGAGGTATGTTTCGGGGGTATGCTTCGGGGTATGTTTCGCGGGTGTGCAACTCGTGTGCCCTTCTTAAACCTGAGCCACCCAAAAACACAAACCCACATATAGCGCCATCACTACCGCTATCATATGTGATGGGACTCCCATGAATTGCAATGCAGAGCGAATGGCGGTAAAGGTAACTGAGCCGAAAGCCTTTGACCAATCCCGAAATTGGGCATGGAAAGAGGAGGTTTGTCGCTCATAAATAAAATTCCTACTAAACGACGCAATACATGCGCAATACATGAACGGGCTGACTACAACAACCACAACAACCACAACACTACAAACAACCCAGCCAAACTTCTCACAGTACCAGCGCCAATTTTGCTGCAACAACAACAACAACAACAACAACAACAACAACAACAACAACAACAACAACAACAACAACAACAACAACAACAACAACAACAAGCGTTGGAATTGGTATTCGCCAACGCGGTCAAAACAAACAACCAACAATTTCAAAGCGTTTTGGTGTGTCTTAAGACAGTCAATCCAAGGCATTGACGACAAATTGAAAAGTCAATGATTTTTTGGACTTTTTTGAAAAATGCGTTTTTCAATTTTTTTGAAAAAATCAACAAAAGATGCTGCAGAACTATAATGGGTAAATTTGATGAATTTTAAATTCCAGGCAAAATGTAACATGTGAAATTGTGCGCACAAAACTTTTTTTCAAAGGGATCGACAAAAGACAAAAATCAAACCTTCATGTTTGACGAATATTCTGAACGAAACAAAATGAAAACAAGATGAGCCTTGGAAGATCTGGAAGCCAGCGTCAGCTCAACATCGAACACGAGTCAAGAAAGGTTGCAGCGGGCTGGTAGAGGGCACCACAGTCCCAACCACCCCTTCCAGTTCAGAAAGCCGATTCTCGAGAGCCTGCAAGCAAGTATCGATAGACTCGGAGCTCGAAGATGCCGTAGGCTGCCCCTGGGCAAAAGATCTCGGCGACGATGGCAGAACCCCATGCAATATCGGACAGGGGCGTCTGCGCCATCGTGCAAAGCAATGCGCGGGTGGAAGGCGGCAAACCAGCAAGATTACCAGCCAAGGCCTGCAAATCCGTCTCGCTGCACAGCAGTTCACATGCTTGAACACGATGCACTCTGGCTTCGGACGCCACAGCCGGGCCAGAGCCTTAAGGCGCATCCATAAGGACCAGGTCAGGTTCAATTTCATCAGGATCTGCGCGGGGGCGAATCGGAATTCTCGGACAAGAGTCCTTCTCGGAGACACACAGGTGAGTTGACTGCACTGCCAATGGCATTTGTAGCACCAACACGCAGCGTGCACAGCAGTGACATGAAAAGACCAGCCCCCAGCAAAAGGACCGAAGCGAAGCCTACGCAGTCCCTGCAGCACGGACACTTGCTTCCCATTACTCTCACTGCCCCGCGCAGCGATGTTTCAGCATCCAGACCACAAAGCAAACCCACTGTCTTTGAGATTTCGCCCAGAACCAAAGAGTCTGCAAGTTGGCTTCCTTGCGACTGAACCTGCTGCCTGGCAATTCTCTTGTTGGCCGCCTGCTTTGTTCCTGTAGTTTTATTTTCCAAACAAAAATGTTTCAAATGTATGAAAACATTTCCTGGCCAAAAATACAGGACAATCCATCGATGCTATGCTTGTTCATTTGTGTCCCATGCACAGCGATGCAATTCACATGCACAGACTGCAATGACGTGCACCCTCACGCTAACAAGACTGAAGCTTATGCATTGGTATCTTTTCCAAGGAAGGGGATTTGCCATGTCTGCTTCCATCCGAGATCTGTCCTCTGCAGGTGTGTGAGAAACGAAAGCTCCCTGCTTCCATCCGAGATCTGTCCTCTGCAGGTGTGTGAGAAACCAAATCTCCCTGTGAAACACTACACAAATCGCTCAGAGCGGAGTTCTCTACTGCACTCAGAGGTTCCGCCTAAGTGAGCGGCCTGTCAATGGTTGAGCTGAACAACGAAGTGCACACACGTTCCAAGGTGCACCGGCAGATCGCTGAGGTTCGTGCTGAAAGGCACATGACGACCCTGCATTTCCAAGCGAAAAGTGGAAGTACGTAAGTCATGCCCAGAGCGATGCCACACATCGTCAGCAACCGCAAACTTGACGTCGTCAACTGTTCCTGTGGTCGCCACTCTACACAGTACAACATCCACAACCGGCACATTGGTTACCATCACTGCCAGCCATTGGATCCTTGATTCTCTGTTCGTGTCTTCATCAAGACCCGCTGTTCCGGCATCACGTTTCATCCCAACTGCCAAATGTAAGGCTTTGTTGGAGTGGGTGGGTGGGCAGAAAAATTTTCCCCCGACCCTCTCCACGAGGGTTGTGACTGAGAGGGCTGTGGCCTCTCTTCGTCTGAGCCGAAAAACTTTCTCATTCGGAGAATTCGAAAATTTTTCTCCGGAAAATAAAGGTTTGTACTTGCAGCACGATTACCTTATTTTCCAAACAAAAATGTTTCAAATGTATGACAACATTTCCTGGCCAAAAATACAGGACAATCCATCGATGCTATGCTTGTTCATTTGTGTCCCATGCACAGCGATGCAATTCACATGCACAGACTGCAATGATGCACCCTCACGCTAACAAGACTGAAGCTTATGCATTGGTATCTTTTCCAAGGAAGGGGATTTGCCATGTCTGCTTCCATCCGAGATCTGTCCTCTGCAGGTGTGTGAGAAACGAAAGCTCCCTCTCTTGGTCGGGGAGAATGCAAGTCCCTTCCTTGGTCATGGGAGTGTCAGGCACAGCGCCCGACGAGCGAGTTCACCAGCTTGGCCATCTCCGCGAGAAGCACCTGATCTTGGAACCTGCAATTGTGTGGCAACCCTGTAAAGTCAAGGCGGGATGGGGCATCCGCCATGTTGGATTTGCTCGGTACCCGAGCGTAGAACGGAATCATCTCGAGCTCCTGTTCCAACAATGCGCAAGCATTGCTCAAGAGGGTCAAGGCCTCTGAATCGCTGGTCAGCTTGAGGAGCGTTATGCGCGCCGCTTCATTGTCTAAGTAGCACATCACGTGTTTTCCCCGGAGAAATTCTCGGGCTAGAATGAAGAGCAGGAGAACAGCTATGCTCTCGAGTCTCTCGAGCTCGTTGATGACTTTGGACTTTCCTTGCAGGAGTTTCCTGATTAAACAGGACTGCTCCCAGACCCATTTCGAGGCCTCGGAGTCCTTCTTGCGAGGCGTCCGTAAAAGCATACACCGTCTCTGAGGTCACCGTCCTCGGCGACGCTTCGGCTATGTAATGTCGTAGCCCCTGCAGTGCTGCGCAAAGGGAGGCTTGGTTCTGTCTCCTGACATATGCGGGGGCATTGATGATGTCAGAGATTCTTCTCATGAAGCCCTTCGGCAAGCGCCCAGTTGGCCCGCCACAAAGCGCAGCCTTCCCCTCAGTCGATTCCAGGTCTTAGGGCTTGAGGCTCCTTGCTCTTGAAAGGCTGCCAGGTCTTCAATGAGACTTTTGGTCCGTTCTGCTGTGTTCTGGATCCTAAAAATCTGCTTGCTGCTGTCTGTAAGGTCAAATTCGACCCCCAAAGATCTGAAGACCTCTTGGAACGGCGGAGCCTTGTCTCCGTCTCTGTCAAACTCAAAGCCGAGCAAGTCTAGCAGAAAACATGCACTGGCCTCTGCGCTAGGGGCCAGCTGTCGTGTGGAGCTCCAAGGCAAGTGCCAAAACGTGTTTCCTATATGACAAATAGCCAAGCTGACCCTGATGAACGCGTGGACCGCCGCCACGGCTCCAAATGGAAGGCAAAGAAGCCTGAAGAAGCGAACCTCCCCCGAGCTGGGGTCCTTGACAGCCACATAGGCCATGTTGAGTGCCTCTTCGGACAGTGGCAGCTGCCTAGAGGCTGATTTCAGGTCAATGGTTTTCCCAAGCAGTCCTTGTCCTGCGTGCCTCAGGAACAAGATGGCTGAGGCTGCAATTGTCTCGACATCATGCAACTCGATCTTCCCCATACTCCCAAATGCCTCGTTGATGTGGCTCTGGGACAGGTCGTCGATCGGCCTCACCTTGCTCCCTTGCTGGATTGCAAAACGTTTGCTGATTACAGCTCCTTGTGGCAGGTCCTGTTCTCGGAACGGTCCTTCCGACCAGCCTTTCGATACTTCATCGAGACTTTTCTGCCACAGTTCTTCCAGAAACTGAGATGAGTCCTCAACTTCCTTGATGACTTGGTGGTTGGTCTCCTGCGTCAATTGGGACAGGTCCTTCAGGGAAAGGAATGCTGGACGAAAGTCGGTGGACCAGCCTGCCGGGAGGTCCAAATGCCCTACAAGATCGAAACCCTGTGCCAGGTCGTCTGCCACTGCCTTGTCGGCGTAGTGGGACGCTTCTAGCATCTCCTTGAAGAGCAGTATTCTCTTGTTGCGGAGGCTGCCGCGGATGTGCTCGGGCAGCTTGGCTTTGAAGTCGTTTTCGGCTAGCTGCAGCTCCTGGGCTCGCTGGAGCCATCTTCGTGACTGCGCGGCTCGAGTCTCAATCACCTTGGCTGCGGGCTGTTTAGAGCACGCCAAAATTGCCTTCCTGAGGGCGGGTGGCACCCCGACGCACAGGTGTGGGGGGTGGCCGGCCAGTCGCGCTTTCGCCACAAATTCCTGTGGGTTCCACGGGACCTCCACCAGAACGTCCGTCGCAGAAGACAGTAGGGGCGTCACTCTCAACGCCGGGGCTCCTGGCGCCTTGAAGCCCGGGATCTTGTCCGGTCCCAACCACTGTGTAGTTTGGAGAGTGCTGCGGAGTTGGCCGGGCACTGTCCATCTGGTTCGTCGGCAGAATTCGGGGATGACCTGAAAAGATGCAGCCTTTTTGGTCTTCGCCTGTGTCGTTACCACCCTGGCTCCTGAGGAGTTTGCGGGATCTCCCTCCAAGAGATTAAGGCCATCCCGACAACCCTTCTGTGTCAGATGCTGCAACAGCAGGGAAACGAAGTGCTTACAAAACTGGTGCGGGTACGCGGTCTCAAGCTTTGTTGCGAGAACTCCCTCATGCACGTCCCAGGGTAGATGCTCGTGGGATCCATCACACGTGACAGCCAGGCCTGTGATGAGGTCGTTGTTACACAGCAAGGCTGTCCGCTTTAATCTCGAACCTCCCATCATGCAAAAGTCGCACTGGACCACGATCGCCTGTTCACTCCTCAGGATGTGTTCAATGGCGCTGCAATGCCAGAAGAAACTGCGATAGGGGTTCTCTATGATTACCACAATGCCATTTTCGCAGCAGAAGTCCCAGATTCCCGGTAAAGCTCGTTAGCCTTTGCCACCCTTTCTGCATCACTTGGGCCAAGGCCTGGAAGCCCTTCCGGGTACTCCACTGACCTCAAGGCATGCGGCTCGTCCTCCCACGGAAGCGGGATTTCCTTGGCCCTGCTGGATGTGCCGCAGGGCGGCGCCAGCCATACGGCTGCCAGTCCTGGGGAGCCCAGCCATTTCCACAGCAGACCTTGGTGTGACAGCAGGAGCAAGTCCAGCTGTATTATCTTGCCCTTGCGCCTCGGCATGCAAGGGCGTCGAGGTCACGTAGCCCAAGGGGGCGTCGAGACAGGTCTCCAGAGACCTAGGCGAGGACCCCAATTGTTGGGATTCCTAGCATGCCAACTCCGCAGCCAGGTTTTCACTGGTGTCAAGTGCCGACGGCGGCCTTTGGCGTGGCGTCGGGCCCACAGGCCCAGGCATCCCTTCCCGCACAGAAGGGAGTTGAGGCAGCTTCTTCTTGGAAGGATTCCTCCCGGTGGCAAGAACAGTCCACCCCATGGAAGAGCCAGCAGTCTTCATGGGGCAAGGGTTGGGGGCAATCCAAGAATTACGGCTCCAGCAGCTTGTGGCAGGGCTCTGGTGGGAATCGGCGTGAGAAGTGGGACAAGCCTAAAGGCTGGAACAAGTGGCCCAAACCTGAGCAGAAGCCGGCCAAGCAGCAGTACGAGCAAGGGGCTGCTCCCGGAGCCGGAGATTTTTCTCGACTCAGTGATGGCTGGGATTTTTGGTGCCCGGCAGCAGGGGCCACCTGAGAGGCCCGACGCTGCATTCAACGTCGCGGAGGCGACGGAGGAGGAAGTTCAAGCGGCGGCCAACCGCAAGGCTGAGCGCGAAGAAGAATCAGCTCTGGCAAGGGGCGATTGCTAAGGCCCTCGCGGATCCCTCGCGCCCCAAGTGCGCCCGAGAATTGCTGCGTGAAGGCAACTTGCGGAGCTGGTGGAACATGTCCTGGAAGGACCGAGGACTGATTGACGGAAACTTGGTGGATGAGTACCGCGATCGGTTGATGCTGTACATGGCCAAGTACAAAAGTCCCGCCGAGGTGCCGCAGCCGATTGTCGCTGCGCATGCTTGTTCGCCTGGTTCAAGCAGAACTCCAGGCCGCTGGACATCGAGGGGGACTTCGACGCGACCATGTTCGCAGTGCCGGGGCAGAAAGTGCTGTGCTTCCGCACAAAGATGACCGGCCCATCTTTCCTGGAGCCCGCAAACCATCGCTACACGATGACAATGTCCCACGGCCTGCCGTGGACGGCAGCCATGGGTGTGGGCGAGTAAGGGGCAGAACCCCCGACAAACAACGTCTACGACGACGAGGCAGGATCGGACGATGAAGCTAGCGAAGATGCCCCCGGAGTTCTTGAAAAGCTTTCCTCTCTGTGGCTCCGTGTCTGGAACAGGCAGGTAACCTCAGAAGAACAGCCCGTGAACGAATACTTGAGTCGTTACGCTGGGCCCAGGCAGCCCGAAGAAGATTGGGATCCAGTTTCAGCAGCTGAACTTCACAAAGCAGCCCAAAAGCAAAAAGGAAAAGCTGGCGGCACTGACACCTGGACAGGAAGCGAACTCTCCGTCCTCCCGAAAGGTATGTGGCACGGGCTCGCTAAGCTCCTTCAGCGCTGGGAGGCTCTGGGAACTTTTCCCACTGTCTGGCAAGAAGTGCGCCAGACTCACATACCCAAACCAGGCTCAAATCGTCAAAAAGATCAAGCTAAGCCCGCTGGCAAGCTCAGACCAATAAGCTTGCTTTCCGCATGGTGGAGGACCTACATCTCGGCCAGATTGCAGACAGCTCAGGCTCAGGAATGGGCCAACAGACATGTTCCGGCCGCTCAGGCGGGTGGACGAAAGCACAGGGATGCAGCAGCCACTTTCATGACTTTAGCATCTGCCTACGCAACCGGCCATTTTATGGCCAGCCTAGATCTTGCCAAAGCTTTTGACCATGCACGTCCGGTAAGGGCCTTAGAACCATGCGGTGGTACGGTATGCCTGGCAAGCTAACAGGAGCGGTTCAGCGTATCTGGGGAAACCAGAAGAGGTTTCTCTCATGGAATGGAGAGATCTGTAAGGATCCGATTAAGGTCACCAGCTCCATCCCTCAGGGAGACGCGCTGTCGCCGTGGGCCCTTAACAGCTTGCTTGCAGCACCCATGCGAGACATTTTGTCCAAAATCCCCAGAACAGTCTTAGCTGCGTTTTTGGACGACCGTTCATGGGGCTCCGCCACTGCCGCCGAGTGCAAACGGGTCTTCGGCCTCTGGCATCTTCACACCAAGGCCATGGGTCTGCGTGAAAATGAAAACAAAACTCAGATTACCCACAAAACGGCCAAGGGCCGCCGCCAATTGTTGGTGCACTTTCCTCATGACAAGCTCGTGAAGCACTTGCGCGCCCTCGGTGCGAGTTTGGGCATGGGCAAGGCTGACGGAAAAGAGTTGGAACGCATCAACAAAGCTATGAAAGCCGCTGATAAGATCCATGCTGCGCCTGTCTGCGCCGCTAAGAGGGCATTCACTTCTGCTATGTCTGCCACGTCTAAAGCTGCTTACGGGTGGCTCAGTTGGGGGCCTGCTTTGAGTGTGGTCTCCAAACTTGAGGTGCGTCTCAAACGGGCGGGTTACAATCACCTCAACGCCTCGGTCCCCCTGGCCAAGCTGGTTGTAGGACATGCGCGAGATGTACGATTCACAGCAGGAATGCAGGCTCTGTCGGCAGCACATCGTGCAGTAAAGTTGTCAGGCGAGGCTCTGCTTGACTGGAACTGCACTGCAGGGCCGGCAAAACGACTAAGGAAATTTCTCTCTGGTCTGAACTGGAGAATTTCGGCTGATTGGACCTGGGAGCACGCAAGTGAGCGTGCCAAGGTGTGTTTGGATCCTAGAGCTGCTGAGTTTCAGGCCAGCTTCGACCAGCAGTCTCATGCTGTCAGGGAGAGCTGGAGAAGAATGCAGTGGAACAGGTTCCTTACCTCACGTAGAAGGGAAACTCCCCTTTTGGCTAACTTTCCTTATGACTCTGCTAGAGTAAGACGTGCTCGTGAAGTTGCGAAAACTGCAGGACTTCATGGCGTTGCTGTTTTGACGGGGGCTCTCATTTCTCCGCAGTGTTTTGAGAAAATGAAGCAGGGAGAGAATGCCCAAGCTGTCCCTTGCCCTTTCTGCGGTCATCAATCCGCGGACCTACGACATGTGCTTTGGAGTTGCCCCAAAAATGGCAAACCACAAGGCTTGACGGCTAAAGATCCCCTTCAAGAACGGCTTGCGTGGCCATACGGTGAGAGTGCGGCGCAAGATCGTGCCGTTTTACAGCATGCAGCGAGCGTGCGACGTCGCCTGTTACAGCTGAGGTACCCCAAAGGGAACATCCGCAGCTAAGGACTGGCGGCAAACTTTGGCGCTGCTTCCCCCTGCGTTTGACGCGCGTGGTGTGGACTGCGTCAGCGTCTACATGATGAGTATGGGGAGATAACCCCGGGAGACTTCACGGAGGGCGACTTCCCGTCGTACGGGTTCAGCGGCCGAGGGGTCTGCAACGACTCCGGCTTTGAAGGCATCAAAGCCTCGATCTCCAAGGTGGCTGCAAGAGCCAAAGGAAGGGACGTCATCTTCTCGATGGAAGGGCTCCTGCAGGAGAATACGCCCCAGGTGGACGGGGGCATGCCGGCACTGAATGCTGCCTGCCGTGATGCAGGCAGCGCGCGGTCAGGGGACCACGTGCTTTTGAGTCCCACCTGTGCAGTTTTGAGGGCCGTATCTGTAGCCTGGCCAATTTGAGCCAAGAGCTGAGACACTGAGCCTTGATATGAGCTCGTCGGGAGCGATAAAAGAGTGTCCCGTACCGACAAGGTGAGTGAACTTTTGCTTTGTCATCATGTCCGCAACAGGGATTTTGTTTCCTTTCACATGTCTTTTGATGCGAGTATCGGGGCGCTTTGGGTCAGTTTTGGTTCAAGCCCCAGATGGCTGGTCACCTACGAGCACCGGAGGTGCCTTCTGACAGCGAGTCGGAAGGCCAAGTAGCGAACCAGCATCGTGTTGCTCAGGTCCTGATTTCCGCAGGACCACCGAATGTGCAACTTCCCTGGGAACAAGGAATTTTCAGGGATATCTTCGCACCTGGACCAGTGGTGTCACTGGACTGGCCAGAGCCCAAGGTTCTTGTCAATGTGGATGAAGCCGAACTATCGTCTACACCAGGTCCCAGCGTTTTGCAAGACAAAGACAAGACGCCAATCGCAGGTGTCTTGAGCTCCTCGCCGGGGGCTAATGTTTTCAGCAAAGTGATCAAGTGCAAAAAGAAAGATGAACCGTTCGAGGAGGCTGTTGCAGGCATGTGGTTGAAGAACATGCAGATGTGGAAACAGCTGTTCGAAGCCACCAGTTTTGCCAAAACATTGCAAGAATTGGACGAAGAGGAGAAGATGTTGTCCCTTCGTGACATATTTGGCTCTAAATCACCACACACAATCCAGAAGCGTGCATCGACCTTGTTGAGGCTGTTTCGTTGGCTTCAAAAACAGGCAGATGTGCAAGGGACCTCTGCGGAGGAACCCCTTCTCCCATCAGAGGAAGCGGTTTACAAGTTCTGCAGAGAGATATCCCACAGGAAAAAGGGCAAGCTGGCACCTCAGAGCGTGGTACAGGCATTGAAGTTTGTGAAATTTGTGCTTTCCATTCCAGATGTGGAGAATTCCATCTCCCCCAGGGTCCGAGGCTTGGCAGACCGAGTGGCAGGCGAGCACGAGCCCACACATCAAGCCCGGGACCTAACAGTGCTTGAGGTTAGATTTCTGGAAGAGTGTGTTGGGAACACCGAGCTCCACGTTGTTGATCGATTTGCAGCAGGAGTGTTCCTGTTTCAGATCTTCAGCAGGAACCGTTGGTCAGACATCAGGCACGTGCGATCCTTGGAGTTCGATTTTCTGGAAATTGGACCCGAGATTTGTGGTTTTCTGGAAGGCAGAGCTAGGGAGGTGAAACAGTCCAACAAGAAGAAGAAACTCTCATTGTTCATGCCCCTCGTGGCTCCAGTTCGGGGGGTCCACCCGAAGGTGGTGTGGGCCAAAGAATGGCAGGAGGTGGCTGCCGAAGCAGGGATCGTGCTCTCGAAGACCCCTATAGGCCCTTTACTTCCGGCCACCGCCCCAGATGGCGCCTGGCTGCAGAGGTCCATCGACTCCGCCGAGGCCTCCAACTGGCTGACGGGACTGCTGAGGAACCGCGACCCCTCAACAGCGAGGGTTACCACACATTCCTTGAAACACACTGCGCTTGGCTGGTTGAGCAAATACGGCATTGTGGGCGAAACACAGACACTCTTGTCGCATCATTCGACTGGAGCTTTGAGTACATTAGCTTACTCAAGAGATGCCCTTAGTGGCCCTCTCCGGCAGCTGGAGGAAAGGTACGGGAGGGCTCGTTTTGCCCGGACGCTACTCGCAGTGGATACTTTGCCCGAGCCCAAGGATCAGAGGCAGGTGCATCTGTTGACCTAGGGTCCTGGTTGCCGATCAGCAAGGTAGGCAGCTTAGATGGGCTGCCTGCGAATTCCGAAAGCACGCATGAGCCTTTGCCAGCTCCAGTGGAAGGCTTTCAGGACGATTTTCTGGGGGTTGGACCGCTTTGCCCCCTGCAAGGGAAGGTCTTTGAGTCACCAAGCGCCATGCCCGTCTTGGAAGCATCCGCACCGTCGGTAGCGGAAGGAGAAGAATCCCCCTCGAAAGAAAGTGAGGAATTAGACAAGCTGACTACTGAGACCTCTGGGCTTTGCGAAACAGTGCTCGATAAGGATGACACACAAGATGCAGATGACAATGGGGAGGCAGAGATCTCGCCCACCACATCAGCAGAAGGGTCCTCCGAGGAAACCTCTGATGGAGCCTCATCGGAAGAAAAGGAGGAACCAGCTGCGGCCCTGAGCCTGCCGGAGGGTTGGAGAGCGATTCAAAACAAGAAGTCTACCATGCTACATCTGTACAAAGTAGGTCAGACAACGCTGAAATGTGGCAAGTGGATCAGCGTTAATTTTGTAGAAATGGAGAAGCCCTCAGCGAAGTGGCTACAGTGCAGCCGTTGTTTTCAGGAGTAAAGAGCGGGGTGACATTGTTGTTGGCCGGTTTGTGTGTGTGTGCAGTGCAATCCCTTTGTACCAGCTCTCTCTTTTGCAATTTGCAGTTTTGGCCCCACGCCCTAAACATGGCAAACGCAGCGGATAGTCAGCCTTTCTTCGAGCAACATGCTCGCAAGACCGGGATGGAGCAGCAACTCTTGGACAAATTCATAGCTGGAGGGGTCAAGACGGTGTCCATGGCAGCCTATGCCGCCACTCAACCGGGTCAACCTCTCACAGACAGGGAGGTCTCCACTCTATGTACGAGTCTGGGGCAGAACAACCCCACTCTTGCACAAATGACGGTCGTCAAGAGGCTCCTGTTCGAGTGCCAGACCATGAGTCTGGCAAACTTGAAGGCCACCGTGGAACAGCAGCCGGACTCAGTTCTACGTAAGCTGCCAGGAGCTGAGAGAGCCCAGCGCCTGGAATTGCAGGCTCAAAGGCTGGGCGGACTCTCGATTGAGCACGACTTGGAGCCCGCCTTTTCAGTCTATGATGCTGTGTCGACACAGGTAGAGCAAGGGTCGCTGAAATACCTTCACCCGAGCAAGATCCCCACGCGTCGCCAGGAATTGGCGCAAGGCAAGCCAGCCAAGGAACTTGTGTTGGACGCTTCGGGGGACGGCCTCTCGGTTCAGGACAAATCCTCTAAAGTCGAGGCCCAGTTGGGGTCAGACATGGCGACTTACAGGGCATTGCAAAGAAGGGGTCTGGCCTACGACCTCGTTGGCGTTTTGAGTTTCAAGGTGCACGAAAAATGGCTTCAGAAGGCCTTTGCTACCTTGCAGACCCCAGCGCCCCCAGGCTTCAACCGTCCGACGCTGCAGCAGGTCCTGCGAGCAGATCGGGCCTTGTGGATGGAGCTTGGCAGCAAACAACCGACCCTGACAAGGGCAGCGGCGAACGCGCCGCTCGCGGACGCCCGGTGCTTAGATCAAGTCTTCCTGGAAGCCACCAACACGGTTGCAGTCAATTTTCACTTCATGCCGACACCTCGTGCGGAAGGGTTCACAGATAAAGGCGGCAAAGGCGCGGGCAAGGGCCCCAAGCGTTGGGGCGATGGAAAGGGGTATGGGCAATGGAAATATCAGAGGACCGACAAAGGGGACAAGGGCCAGGGAGGCAAATCAGGTTTCAAGGGAGCCCGCCTCCCACGAAGGCCAAATTCGACAGTGGCAAGGGCGGCTTTCCGAATAAGTCCCTCGTCTTGCAAGGAGGCAAGGGTGAGACCCCCATGCCGGCCGCCTTGCGAGGCGGCGTGCCGAACGACGAGCATGGAGATCCTCTTTGTTTTGGCTTCAACCTAGGACAGTGCAAGGATGCCCCATTGGGGGGCAGATGCGCACGGGGCAGACATGTATGTTGTCACCCAGGTTGCTTCCGGAAGCATCCCTTTTCTGAGCACAAGGGCTCAGGCCAGGCAGCCTGAAAGAACGCCCCGTTGCAAGGGACGTCGAATGACAGCGCTTCCGTGCTGGACCAGGCGTCCCGCGCTGCTCCGACCACGCGTCGCGCACAAGCGTGCGCGGAGAGAGCGGCAACAGCCATGGGGGAGGGTGGAGACAGTTCTGCCCATTTTTGTGAACAAGACAATTTTCCCGCTTCTGAGGCGGACAGGCCCAAAGAGAGCTGCAAGGAGTTGCATCCTGCTGCTGTTGCAAAAGGGCAAGAGAATCAGCCCCCGCTCCAACGGGCGGCTGAGCCAATCCCACAGTTTTCCAAGCCTTCCTCTGAGGCCTCCGCATTTCCACCTCAGGCAGTCATTCCCCTTCGGCGCCTGTCTCTGCGTCTTGAGCGACGGCTGTCACTGCTGCTTCTGTTCCTTCTGCGGTCCCTGGAGGCAGGGCCTCGGGAATCACCGCCCGGAAAGAAGGGCCACGGAAACATATGGGCCTTCGCCTCTTTTTCTTTGCCCCTTGGCTTTTGTTTCCTCTCGCAATCTTTGTGACCCCTTTTTCCTTCTCTCTTTTTTTTTTGAGCCGAGAGAAAAACAAGGAATAAACTCAGATGTCAGCACGTCGTTGCCTTCAATTGTGCAATCAAGTGCTGAGTTGATAGCAGCCTGCACTCCCTCTGTTTTCAAGCTCTCGAAAAGAATCCTCTCATCTCGACTAGACGACTCATCGGTGCCCTTGCACCTCTTGTCGGCCCTTGCCGGTTTTAGCTGTCGTCACGGTCTGAAAGAAGAGGCTGCCCTTGCAGCAACATATTAAGTACACATGATGTGTGCATTGAATGTTGGCCCTTGCCATCTTCAGCTGCCCTTGCAGCAAAACTATTTAAGTTGCCCTTGCAACAAGTCTCAACGAGCTGACCTTTCAGCTGATCTTTCACCACATCTGCCCTAGCAGCTTGATCTCTCTTGAGCTGCCCCTGCAGCATTCTTAGAACTGTCCATGCATTATAATTCTCTCCGAAGACTTTCTCACTTCCAAGAGCACCACCTGAAGTGCAGCAGTGTACAGTTGAGAATGTGGTGTGTCTGCAAAAGTCCAAAACAAACTGACATGCTTCACAAACACAAGTCACTCAACCGACTCGCAGAAACAATGCCAATGCAAGCACTGATTGCTCGCACCTTCCGTCCCTTAGCGTCCAGGGCCTGTTGTCAGGGCAGGACGGACGCGCTGCTGAACTCCCTTGCTTGGCCATCGGCTAACGAGGAGGGCAGGACACAGCTTCCCAAACTTGGTTCCCTGCAGCTCTGATATCTTGTCCTGACGTATACAACTCCCGCAAGTGACGAAAACAGCTACCATCTGCAGCAAGTTCTGAAACCTAAGACACTAGCTCGTCTCCCTGCACTCCAGCAAGCTTCAAGCAACAGCAATGCACAGCAACCAACGCACTCACAAAGTCTTCAAGCTAGACCTGGAGAAAGGATCCTTAAATTGCGTCCTGGCTCAGACTGCAAAAACGCACACACGCCGCAAGAAAACTGCAAAAACGCACACATGCCCCAAGAAAACTCAAGAGCAGCATGGCCGCCATCCCGCAGGATGCTCATCCCCCAGCACACTTCGCTGAAGGCAGAAAAATTTTCCCCCGACCCTCCACGAGGGTTGTGACTGAGAGGGCTGTGGCCTCTCTTCGTCTGAGCCGAAAAACTTTCTCACTGAGAATTCGAAAACTTTTCTCTGGAAAATAAAGGTTTGTACTTGCAGCACAATTACCGTAAGCTGCAAGCTGCCAAGAAGGCCACTTCTTTCGCCAGTCCCTGCAAATTGCATAAGAAAAGGTTGCTGCTCACCTTTTTGTTCTGTGACCTGGAAGCTGCAGGGCAGCCAAAATCGCGACTCTGACGCGCAGGACTTCCCGGACCCGAAAGCACAGGAAGCAGAAGGGTGAGAAATCGCAAACTTAAAGCGCATGGGATGGATCAGGGCAAAATCGCGACTCTGCGGATCCGAAAGCACAAGAGAGAGAGAAATCGCAAACCTGAAGCCAAAAGCCACTTGGAACCTGGACGCAGCAGGGAATGAAATTGCGAACCTGGGCTGCCCCCAAAGCAGAAAAGAAAAACGAAGGCCCATGTGCTTTTTTTGCAAAGCGTCTGGGCCTTTAGGACGCAGCACGCGGAAAGCGATCGGAAGACTGTGGGTCCAGGCATTCTTAGTTGCAAAAGCCGACGCACAGTTCTTGCGCATCGCTGCAGACTGCCGAGAAGTCCGCCTTCTGCCTTAAAATTAAACAACGGAATAATAAAAAAAACAATGCTACTTTTTATGTCCAAATTGAACAACGGAATTTTCACTAAGTGATTTTCACAATCAGCGATTTCAAGAAAAACTAAAACTGGATTTCAAGCCAAAAATGGATTTCAGGTCATAAACCACCAAACAATAAAATTGCCAAAATGGATTTGGCAAAGCAAATCCACCCAAAAATGGATTTTCAAACCAAGATCGCCAAAAACGAAAAAAAATGAAAACTGCGCATTTAAACAAAACAAAAATTGTCAGAAAACAAAGGCCAAACTTCTTCACATTGAAACTTTCCAGAAAACTTAAGAAAGCTTGGAGAATTGAAATATTTCTGTTTAAATTTGTGTCTTCACATTGGAAGCAAGACGTCTTTGTCGCTTGAACAAGGTTGGTTTGCTTTTCAGTTTTTTTATTTGAAATTTCATGTTTTTTAAATTTTTTTTTGCATTTGCATTGAATCTGAAGAGATGTTAATTGTTGATTGCGGTAAAAAAACAGATTTAACTTTCAAGTGTCAGATTTGATGGTGAAGATTAGGGGATCGGGTGTTGGTTATCATAGAATAGTGAGTCGGAGTAGGGCTGCCATGAAATCTACGTAGTTGCAAAGGCACGTCGTCTAGAGAATCGTAGCTATCCATGATGCATAGGGCAGCAGTGCACTCCGCGGTAGATCCAAAACCCTGAAGGAAAAAACCATCCCCCAACTCTACTTCTCGATTTTGCGTGTCTTGAGCCCCAATGCCGCGATGTCATCTTCGCAGGGGCCATGCTCTTCCTCTCAGCTCGAAATGGCACACTTCTCGATTGTTGCATCTTACATCCGATTTGTAATGATGTTCTTAAGCAGCTTAGCTTCTGCAGGTGAATAAGCTGTGAGCTTCTCCAGGCAAGTAAGTGGCCTCCCCAAACCACAGTTGTTCCAGATCGCGATTTGCTGCCCTCCGGTGCCCATGAAGCGTCGCTAGAAGTGGTTATCGCCTTCCCAGCGCTCTGCTGCCGCATCGAATCCCAAGTCTTGGGTGTAGCGAAGGTGTCTCCACATCGCCTTGAGCGACTTCAAGGTTTCGTCAGGGTTGCAAGACATATGAGAGGCCAGGACCTCAACTGCAGCGCTTAAGTCCGGTCTTGCGCAAACTGACCCAGAGCAGAGCTCCCACATGGGACTGACAATCCCGCAACTGCTTGTGATGCATCTTATCCCTTGCCTGCGGGACGATATGCCTTGCATCCATTGAAAGTTTCCCATCCACGACTCTTGAGCTTGTTCTTAATCCAAGCTTCTTGCTGTCAAGAAAAGAGAATTGTCGGACAGCTCACAATTTGAAAACCAAGGAAATCTTGTCCGGATGGTCAACTTGCACTGTTCGCCACAACTCTCCTTTCATGTCCCATGAATCAGTTCAGATCCCCAAGCTCATGTCCTTCTTCTGCCTTCAATACAGCATGGTTCAAGCGTTGGTTCGCAAGCCCTTTTCCAAGCCTTAGGTGCAGCTCTGAGACCATAAACTGCTCTCTTGACCAGCCATATCTCGTCTTCAGCTGCCTTGGACAACCGCCTGAGAATTGGTGGAGGACGCAACAGAATAACCTTGGAGTCATCCAGGTCAGCATTCAAGAAAGCTGTGACAATATCCGTGAGCGCGCACACCCATTTGCTTATGATCGCCCTAATTGCTTCCGGTGGGACGTCACTCGAGCGAAATTTTCGGATCTCCACCGCTTGAATCGTAGTCGTAGTTTCCGCAAGCTACCAGACGAACTTTTGAACGGTGTGTTGTCATCATTCAAGTTGACTGGTGCGACCTTTCTGTCAGGTCCGGTCAATACCAGTTTTGATGGCAACGTCTTTGGAAGTGGTTCGCCGGGACTCAAACCTAGTCCATCCGAGAAGACTCGCGCTGCACTTTCATCGTCACAGCCCGCTGCATCCGTCAAGGCCCTTGCTTCCACTTTGTACGCCTCTCTTTCAGTCTCCCGTGACCATACCGTGAATCCGGATCCTGCTGAGGACTTGTTTGTGCTTGTAGTCTCTACTCTGGCAACATACGCGTGTCTAGAATCAGTGAACTTCATTCCTTTTTTTCATCGTCAAGATATCACCTTCTGGGGGTGGCTCCCATTTGATGTCGCCTGCAGAAGACGCCCAAACCTTCTCGTCCGTCTCCGGATTCAAGTGAATCTTCCATTTCTTCCTCGGAATGTCCAAAAAGTCTCGGACTATTGAGCACAGCCTCGCGCCCATTTCTCGTCACCAAGACGAGCGCTCCCCAGGACAGCGATCATCGTTGCAAATGAACCTCTCTTGATCTCCTCTGGGCCTCATTCCGTCCACCTGTTGCGGTTTATACATGACATTGTCACCCATAGACGGTGCACAGGAATTTTTCCAAACAAAACCATCTGTCGTTGTTTGAAGGTGTATTCTCGCATCGCCATAAACCAGTACTTCACAGGAAACTTGGAGTGCAGCAGAAGTGATGTTGCTCCTGCTTTTATCCTTTGAACCGCTCGCTCAGCTCTTTCGTTTGCCTGTGGGTGGTAAGGCGCCGACACGGTCCTCCAAACTCCTACCTTTGATGACATGTTTTCGAACTTAGCTCC